ATCCAAAGCCATACCCACATCAACAGGTGAATGATTTCATCAGCTGCTATTTCTGTCAATCACTTCCTGAATCTAAATGCGAAATCGCATACATTTACATACAGTTTTATATAAATTAGCTATGCACTGATAAATTAATGTATTAGGCCAGCTGTTAAATAACTAGTATTTGTTTCGGCATTGTGACTGTTTCTATCACATCTGTATTAATTGTAGTTATCTCTACCGCTCTCATAGTTGTGTACGTGGCAAATCTCTGTGGAAGATGGGCAGGTGATTAGACTGAGTTTTCAGAACTTGAGTCTGGAAACACAGGATGTGTGTGAGTTTGACTATGTGGAGGTTTATGATGGGGCAGATGCAGATGCAAACACTGTGCTGGGCAGGTGAGAATACTGCACTGCTGTCTCTACAACTCTGATGGGATTTAAAGAGACCTATTGCTTTAAAATGTTTACTTTCAGCAACAGTGAGTTCCAATACAAATGAAAATGCAGAGAACGCAAAACATTTCCATCATGAGCATTATCTTGAGGAAGGCAGATTTAATTGTGTCATATTTGTTGTACTGGAGTGATTGAGCCAATGCTGTTGAAAAAGCCAGCATATGCTGGTTAGGTATGTTTTGAAGCATGGCTGCTGGTTTGAGCTGGTTTAAGCTGGTCCTTAACTGGTCATGTGCTGGTCCTGAGCAGGAGCTAGTTGCTCAGGACCAGCTCAAACCAGCAGCCATGCTTCAAAACATACCTAATCAGCATATGCTGTTTTTTTCAACTGGGTGGATCAGTTTCACAGAATATGATGATGCATTTCTTTATCAGTGTCAGCTATGGTCTCCCATGTGCTTCTCTAAACGTCGTTTACCCTGCTATACTACCACACTAAAGACCCAGAACTGTGAAAAGTTTAATAACTTAAATATTGAGGGTTGAAACGGTCCCCCACAATATGTGTTTACAGAAAGCTTTCTGCTGTTCTTATAGTGAGTGCTTGACGTCCCGCTGTCTCTCTGAGCAGGTTTTGTGGGCCAGCTCTGCCTCCTGATCTCACCTCCTCTGGTCCTGTGATGACCGTGCTGTTTGTGGCAGATGAAGGTGTTGCAGACAGTGGCTTTTATGCATCGTTTAGGGCCACGTCTCTTTCAGAAAGTGAGTGCTGCACGGTTCATGAAGTAGATTTTGTGAGTCTCTGTGAGATCGTGACTCTTCCCTGCATCACTGCTTTCTGCTTTGAGGAACATGCAGTCCAGCAGAGTTTGCATGCGGCTCCGGGGAATGTCTGCACCAGGACTGGCTGTGTGACGGATGGAGCGACTGCGCAGACGCTGCAGACGAGCACCACTGCATTAACTCCACCTACCCTCCTTTCAGTGAGAACACGCTGCAGTTTGGAGAGGACGTTTCCTGCTGTTTTGACTCCTTTCAATCCCTTCCCAAATAAATTGTTCAGCCGGTTAAATCTATAAATCTATTGCACTAATAACCTCTTGCATAATCATTTATCAAATTATATATTATACAGTGCTCATGAACTGAGAAACCTAAATTCCCTTGATCTTTTGACATAAGAGGTCATTCTACTATAAAAAAAAGTTTCAGAACTCGAAACTTTCTCGTTAGTCTAAAAACAGCTTATACTGTATTCCAATCTGCCAAAACCAGTTTGTGGAATGTTCTACTCTATTATGCAATAGTGTGGATAAGCACCGCCTTCTCAGAAGAAGATCAACACCTGCTTCTACAGCACTGTTTAGCCCCGCCCACCGATTCTACAGCACTGCCTGTATGCGTTGCCTTCCTTCTGATCCCAACGTTAGGAAAGTGTGAATGAACTTTATTTTTAATGAAGATCCAGACTGCGTCAGTAAGAACTCGGTCCTCGGATTCGTTTACAAACAAGGCACAGTTCGACATAGGCTTTTCAGAAAGATTGAAACTAAAAGACGATGCTGTGCGACTATATTGAATCTGTTTTCATAACGTGATCACTATTGCTTTGTCTCTTCTTACAGATTGTTTGATATTGGATTAATTATGCATTTTCAACCTAAATCACAGCGGCATCCATTTGTGAGGAATGTACTCTGTGAAACATACACAACTGTTGAGCGTTTACTTCCGCGTCTACGATCGTCCTCGCCTATTCAGAGCGTTCTGATGAGAGGGTCAAAAACTGTTTCTTCTCAATTATTAGTTTTGATGTAAAAATCTTGATAACATTAACTCCGAGAACAGTACAAAATAAAAAAGTGAGGCAGTTCATGACCCCTTTAAATGGCATGCGTGTTAGGAACAACATAAAGCCCATATGGCTCAGCAGTATGTGCAGTATTTGTTGGCTCTTGGTAAATCTACGGTATCTGCTGAAATGCCAGAGGCTCAAAAGTAGCTTTTTAGTTGTTGTTTAGTAGTCACAAGTGCATCTCACATTCTTATTTTTTGCCTTTTTTTTCCCTCAGCTTCATCTTGTGAGCCCATCCAGGTTGAAATGTGCAGAGGTCTGAGCTATAATCTCACGTCCTTTCCAAACATCTGGCTGTCTATTTCTGACCAGAGAGAAGCTGCTTCTATTCTGCACGAGTACAGGGTGAGAATGAGAGCAGTGACTGTGAGCAGCTCCCCAGAACCCGTTGGACATCTGTGTGATGTGATTGCAGGTGCTGATGGAGTTTGGCTGTTTCGAATCCTTCCGGCGGCTGGTGTGCGGTGTGTTTGTTCCTCACTGCAGCGCTCAGAGTGGAGTCCTGCAGCCGTGTCAGTCTGTCTGCTCCAGCGCGGAGCAGCAATGCAGTCAAACCCTGACCCTGCTCAGTCTGACCTGGCCCTTCAGCTGCCGCCTGCTGCCCGCTTCACACGACCCCACGGAGTGCTCCCTGCCATAGACACGGCCCTGACCTAAACTCACACTCACCCGAGAACAACCGGTGCAGTGACTGCACACGGAAACAATGCTGTAAATAAAACAAAGATTGCTGGAATGCATTTTAAACAATCTTTTGATAGTCCACTTTAGACATTTTGCTAAAAATAAGTAACTTTGCAACTACATGTCAACTAATTCTCATTAATTTGCTACTACTGTACGTGTCTACTAACTCTCAGAGTACACTAAGGTTAGGGTTAGTAGAATAAGTTAACATATACTTGCAAAGTGTCTTATAGTCAGTATGTTGTGGACCCATCCAAATAAAGTGTTAGCAGATATTGAGCAGACGGTCTACTAATACTCTAATGACTGCTAGTTGACATGTAGTTGCCAATTTACTTATAATTAGTTGAATGTCTAAAGTGGTGTATCGACATCACAGTGGAGAATCGGTCCTCCTGCACTGAGCGCTGATAAGAACAAACTTACACACGGAAATAAAACACTGACATTTTGTGTTTACAGTCTCAACCAGGTTAACGGTCTCAAGACATCTTTACACAAACTGTGAAACGTTCAGTGCTCTAATGATACACCAGAAGGTTTATATATATACAGAATAGTAATTATCTCTGTTTGTTTGTTCTCAGCGGTTGAATTGTAATTATATATTCATTAAATTAATTATACCATTAACCCAGTTTACACTATTGTGGGATTTGGCCCCAGAGTAACTGCCAGTAGTTACTTCACCGATTCGATGTGTTAGTTGCTCTTATTACATCTGCACAGATAAGCAGTTTATGTCATTGTGATCATATAAATAAGTGTTGTTTATTTTATTTGTTACTGTTCGACAAAAACCAAAGCACTTTGAACCCATAATCTGATCCGTCTCTGTGGGATTGGTAGATTCATATAGTATGACATACGGAGAACGTCCTGAAACCTGGAGTGTTGACAGATTATAGCTGCGATTTAATTCAAATAAACAACTAGCTAGATTGTGTCTCTGCTCATCTCTTCTTCATTTTCTGTCATCTTTCTCTAGTAGTACACATTTTTGCATCATGGCAAATTGTTGGATTGTTATTGGGAAGTGTATGGCCCAGATCAGTCCTGTGATTGATTGATTGATTGATTGATGGATGAAGGACACCTATACATATACTTTCATTTTCATGTCCTTAGTTGAAAATATGACTACATTTAACCTCTGAAGTAAAACATGGAGGTTCACTTAATTTTTCCACTGTGAATGATTACTCAATGTCTTAAACAACAACAAAAAGGAAGACTACAGCTGTTTGTGGGCTGTTAATTCAATCAGTTTGTTTTTGTCAGTGACCTAGACCACATTTGATAGGACATGAATGCAGCAGGATTCACAAACTTCTTCCTCCGATATAGCACTGTTTGGATGGAGCTAGTCTTCTCAATGACATCTGTGTTACATTTATGAATGCGGGACTCTGCTCATTCCAGGTACTTTGATGTTTGAATTGGAAAATTGAATATACAACCACAGGAGGACGTAAGGTAAGAAGTTATATGTTTGAGTGGCATTTGAAGATGTGGTTCTATCATATTAACACATTTTTAGGTGTCATTTGATTTAGTAATAATACATTAAACAAAATATGAATTTTGGCTCTTGTAGATTTTAGATGAGGAAAGCTTGTCCAAAATCACTTCGGTAACGCTTTACAATAAAGTTCCATTTGTTAACATTAGTTAATAACTACATTAAACTAACAACGAAAAATACTTCAAAAGCATTTATTATTCTTAGTTAATGTTGATTCCGACATTTACTAGTGCATTATTAAATTCACACGTTTTATTGATAAATGTACTTAATGGACGAGCTAAAATGATCTAACAATGAACAGCTGTATTATTATTAACTAACATTAACAAAGATGAATAAATATTGTAACAAATGCATTGCTCAATGTTAATGTTAGTTAATGCATTAAACATAGTGAACTAATGGAATCTTATTGTAAAGTGTTACCATCACTTTCAAAAAGCGCTAGGCCTATACCTTAGATTTGTTCTCTTTCTGGGAGTCTCTCTGTGTCAAACACATGGACAGAGGCCGTTACTGAGAGTGAGTTTTGTGTGTTTGAAAGCGAGGTGATTGACCGCAGGGACAGATATCTGCTCACACTAACATTACCTCTCATCGCTTCACAGCTCATCGCCAGCCCTCACTAACCTCCACTAATTACCAGCCTCGACAGAAACTAGAAGAGCCGTCTTTCTCTCGTCCACACTGAAGTCAGCGAGTAGAAGTGGAACTGCAGAACTCAGGTGAGGAGTTGTGACATTTATGGTAAGAGCAGTTTGTAGACTGAATATGATCCTGCTGTAAAGAAAATTACTTTAAAGACACTAGCAGTTAAATGGATGTTGCTCTTCATTCATATGTGACCCTGGACCACAAAAAAAACAGTCATAAAGGTCAATTTCTTGAAACTGAGATTACTGAAAGCTGAATAAATAATCTTTCCATTGATGTATGGTTTGTTAGGATAGGACAATATTTGGCTGAGATGCAACTATTTGAAAATCTGAGGGTGCAAAAAAATCTAAATATTGAGAAAATCATCTTTAAAGTTGTCCAAATGAAGTTCTTAGCAATGCATATTACTAATCAAAAAGTTAAGTTTTGATATATTTACGGTAGGAAATTTACAAAATATCTTCATGGAACATGATCTTTTCTTAATATCCTAATGATTTTTGGCATAAAAGAAAAATGGATAATCTTGACTCGTACAATGTGTTGTTGGCTATTGCTACAAATATACCCCAGCGACTTAACACTGCTTTTGTGCTCCAGGGTCACATATATTATGTAACCGATTCATGACTGGTTCATGATTTCAGTGCAAGACACGTCTCTTTCACAGGTCTGAATCAGGTCATCATGTGTACGGGTAAATGTGCTAAATGCACCGCAGACCTTCTCTTCCCGCTCGGTCTCCTAGCCGTGGTCGGAAACATCCTGCTGTTTTTTCCCAACGGTGAGGTGTGGAGGACCGAGGAGATCACTGAGAAGATCTGGTTCTTCCCCGGGGTGATCGGAGCAGGACTGCTGGTGAGTGTGAGAGTATGTGAAGGACAGACGAGCGAGCGAGTAAGTGTGTCTGCTGACTGTGTTTGTGTGATTTCTGCAGGCGTTTCTGCCAGCGTCGGTCATGAGGGCCGCGGGGCTGGAGGGCAGCTGCTGCGCAAACAGATGCGGGGTGAGGAACTGACTTCATCTCTCAACAGATAACGCATGCACTTTATATTTGTGTCAGCAGAAATTTATTCTGCATCATCTTTGTTAAAAAATGTGTAGCTTCTTCTATAGTGCTCTTTTCAAACTTCACTTGCAATAAATGAGTGGCAGATTGTTATAGGACCAAACCTGTCACACTACATGCAAGCACACTTTGCAGTAATGATAGGCAGCACTACTATTCTACTGTTGCATGTAAAAGATAACATGCAGTCAGTCATATAACCTAATAACAAACAGATATCATTAACTAATGAGTGAAGTATTGATTGGAGTTGGACTGAGCTGTAGAGACAGCAGAGGAACACAAGCACAGCGATGCAGGAAAGATATGTTTGCTGGCTAAGAATTCATTTATACAGCACTAGACAAGAGTTTATTATTTAGATTCTAAATTCTACAACTGACCAGTCAGAATCAAGCATTTTGTGTAATTTAGTGTAAAATAGTGTCCTTTTTGGCTGAAATAAGTGAACATAATTGGATAATATGGGGGAAGATGCCCCTCTTAAGAACAGTGTGCATTTACTGAAATATTTGTAGATATACGTTTAAATAAGATAAAAGTGCATCTGCAGAATGATGATGATGCATCAGCCATTGTGTTATTATAGTAAATAGAAACGTGTTAATTTTGTTATTATAACATAAAATGTGTGTGTGTGTATATATATATATATATATATATTAGTGCTGTCAAACAATTAATCGTGATTAATCGCATACAAAATAAGTTTTTGTTTACATAATGTGTGTACTGTGTATATTTATTATGTATATATAAATACACATACATACAGTATATATTTTGAAAATATTTTCATGTATTTACATGTCTATATTTATATTAAAATAATTTATATTGTAAATAAATATATTTAACATATAAACATAACATATTTTTCTGAAATATATACATGCATGTGTGTGTATTTATATATACATAAAAAATATACATAGTACACACACATATATTATGCAAAAGAAAACTTTTATTTTGGATGTGATTAATTGCAATTAATCGTTTGACAGCACTAATATATATATATATATATTTTGGTTGTCCGGTCACCGTTATGTTATGCTGTGTTTTCCCTCACCATTCTGCCCGTGTTCTAAGTTTGTTCATTAAACTAAATGAGTTTGAACTGCCCCTCCTGTCTTCGCCTTCCTTCCTGCATCACCGTGACAGATGACCGGACCTAATAACGCAAACTGGGCTGAGGACCAGCTGTGGTGCCTGCGGCAGGGTGGTCGGCCTTTGGAGAGGTATGTGGAGGAATTCCTCGAGCTGTCTTACCAGTTGAGCTGGCATGACGCTGCACTCAGTGCTTGTTTTCAGTTGGGTCTGGATGAGGAAACGATCTGTTGTGATCTTCCTACGAGTGATTTTCCCTTGGTCGAGTTGATTAATCTCATCCTTTATTTGAATGGTTCTACTTCTGAGGTAGAAGAAGTTAAGAAAAATGAGAAGCATCCTCATCCAGCCCCCTCTGAAACAAACCTTGCCTCTCCAGCTCATCCCATGCCGGGACACTCCACATGCCTAACCAATGGTTCCGATCACCCATTTCCTCCCATGTTTCCCCGTGCTCGAAAATGGACTTCTAACAGTGCATTCCAACCCCGCATTCCTATCTGTCAGGTCAGTGCTAAAATGTACATCCCTTCTGCTGTCTCCAGTTCCAAGAGCCTTTCCAGTCCTCAGCCCAGAAACGCCGGCCGCTCCACAGTCAAGTTTACCGGCGGCCCCACTGTCAAGCCTGTCAGCCGATTCACTCCCAAGCCCTATGATAACAGCAGCTATATCCTTAACCTCAGCCCAAAAAAGGAGAATGAGGAGGAAAAGACTGTTGGCTCTAGCCCCTGACCAGAGCCGCATACGGCCCGTCACGAATTCAAATGCGGCCCACCATGCTGAACACAATTTTAAAAAATAACTTTCAGTTTTACAATTAGTTTTAGTTTTTACATTAATTTAAAAATGTACTAAACAAATATAAGCTATAATGTTTTTATGTAAAATCATTTTATTTTTCATATATTATTTTCAGACCTGAGCAGACCTGTATACTCGCGTAACGTTACGCATTTAACGAACACTTACAAGCGCGCACTTTGGCAGCATTCAATCCAAATAGTCATCAGCAGCCATTAGTTAGGTAAAATTGAGCATCAGAATGGACAAATTTGTTATTAAGGGAGAAAAACTAAATGTGGAAAATGCCAGCGAAGGAACACATACAAACAAGAGTGTTCGCAGTATCAGCAGTGAAGGTAGGAGAGTGCTGGACTTTCGGCATCAACTTTCGGTTTGCCCTGCCACTCACTTGAAGATGTTCAGGCAAAAGGAAACACCCATACTACACAGCAATCATCCTTAATTGCAGAAATGTGGCAAAACATCTCTGGAGAGAACCTCAGATTATTAAATTCGAAAGTGCTTTCCATATTTGGATCAACATAGGCTACATTTGTGAATGCACATTTTCTGCAATGTCGCGCGTCAAGTCACGCTTCCGTGCGCGTCTTACAGACTGCAACTTACAATCGCAAATTCATTGTGCTGTTACTCCTTTCGAGCCGAATTTCACAAAATTAGTCAGCTTCCGACAGCATCAGGTGTTTTATTTATGGTGAGTAGAATTATTTATTTATTTATTTATTTATTTATGTCAATGAATGTAATCGATTAGATATCATAATATTTAGGCTATAATATAAATCTGTTTGGTTTGTATGGGTGACGTAATATGTAAATGATATGCGTGCGGCTCGTGAGACTTGCACTTGGACCATAGTGCGGCCCAGTGGCTCCTGTTCCCACGTCCAGCCAAGAGAGGGCTGTTGTTCCCACGTATGGCCCAGGGAGGGCCACAGATCCCAAGTCTAGCCCAAGGAGGGCTCCTGTTTCCACGTCCAGCCCAGAGAGGGCTCCTGCCCTCACGTCAAGCCCTGAGAAGGCTGCGGATTTCACGTCCAGCCCAGAGAGGGCTGTTGTTCCCATGTCTGGCCCAGGGAGGGCCTCAGATCCCGAGTCAAGTCCAGGGAGAGCTCCTGTTTCCACGTCCAGCCCAGAGAGGGCTGCGGTTCCCATGTATTGTCCAGGGAGGGCCACAGATCCCAAGTCTAGCCCAAGAAGGGCTCCTGTTTCCACATCCAGCCCAGAGAGGGCTTCTGCCCTCACGTCACGAACTGAGAAGGCTGCGGTTCCCACGTCCAGCCCCGAGATGGCTTGTGTCCCCAAGTCCAGCCAGGAGTGGGCTTCTGTTCCCGTGAGCAAGCCGGAGTGGACTTCTGAGCCCAGCCCAGAGCCGGTCCCAGCCAGGGGACCCGGAGTCTCCCCCAATACATTTTTTTTGGGGGGGGGCTATACGTCTCCGGCTGTAGTGGCCGGGCCGAGTGCCGAGGCCAAGGTTCAGCCATGGCCCCCTGAACTACCTGTTCCGCCATGTCCTCCTGGACTGCCTTCTCCGCCATGGCCTCCTGGACTGCCTGTTCCGCCATGGCCTCCTGAACTGCCTGTTCCGCCATGGCCTCCTGTACTGCCTGTTCCGCCATGGCCTCCTGTACCCCTGAACTGATACCACCCTGGAGGCCTCTCGTCCTGTACAAGCCTGTCCCTAGAGGCCTCCAGAGCGCAGAAGTTAAGTGGCGTGAGGACGCGCCTTCCGGGAGGGGGAGGTAATGTCAGACTCGTGTTCCTGTTTTGTTTTTCTCCCCATGTGCTTCCCGTGACCCAGTTTCTCCCTCTCGTTTTGATTAGTCATTTGGTTCAGGTGTGTCCCATTAATTACCCTTGTTTGTCTATGTATTTAAGCCCCAGTCTGTTCAGTCTTTGGTTGTCCGGTCACCGTTATGTTATGCTGTGTTTTCCCTCACCATTCTGCCCGTGTTCTAAGTTTGTTCATTAAACGAAGTGAGTTTGAACTGCACCTTCTGTCTTCGCCTTCCTTCCTGCATCACTGTGACATATATATATATATATATATATATATATATATGTCATAATAGAAACATGAATGCAAAATTAATGATTTCACTCAAATAACCTTTGTTTTAATGAAAAGCAAATATGTCTGAAATGTACATCTAATTCATGAAATAATGAATAACAACCTCATCAGTTACAATAAGTATTAAATAATAATAAGACTGTCAGCTTTTAACTTCAAAATAACTCCACAAATCTAAAAGCACTGACGTGTCCACAAATACAATTTATTAACAAATAGACATAAAAAGCATTGATATTCAACATAACACAGTGTCATAGATGACTATTTTCCAGAGACACAAAATAAGATCAGTTAACCTCAAAAGTATTTCGTAATCTATATCTCACAATTGTTGATGTGCAGATGAAATTACAAAATTAAAAATAGCATAGCCATTCATCAGAAGTGTTGAGAAAAAAACTTCTTTACAGAATCAAACTTTATTTCTTATTTGAAATTATCAGAACAAGTTCTTGAATGTATCTTCAGATACAGAAGGGCTGCCATTTATTTCAGTTGTGAACAGTAACTTCATCTGAATCGGCAACAAAATCACACACACACACAGACACACACACACACACTTTTCAAGTAGGCTACATTTGACCCTGGCAAAGAAGCAACCCAGTTGACTGAAGTGTGTGTCTATCTCTCTCTCTCTCTGTGTGTGTGTGCGTGTGTGTGTGCGTGTGTGTGTGTGCTGCAGATGATGCTGTCCATGCTGATGTCTGTGTTTGGTGTTGCTGGAGGTCTGTATTGTATGATCATCTCTGCCGTCAGCCTGCAGGACGGCCCTCTGTGTGACACAGGAGACGGGATCTTCATCTACCCCTTCCTAAACAGCACTGCAGAGTAACAGCACTCACATTGACCCGTTTGTTTGTACACTATACAGTGTGTATAATGTGCGTCTGTGAGGATGCAGGGGAAACAAAATCTCATTCTCAGAAATGCACAAAACTCTCTGGCAGAACTTGAAAACCCCAAACTGCGGTTTGCTTATCACATGTTAGAACATACTCTGTTTTCACTTCATTTTCACATTGATACTTTCACACCTGTGCTTTCCTCCGTTCAGAGAGAGTTACCTGTTCAACCAGACGTCATGGGCGGTGTGTGTGCGGCCACAGAATGTGGTGATGTGGAACGTGGTCCTGTTCTCCATTCTCTTGAGCATCGGGACTCTGGAGGCTGTGCTTCTGCTGGCACAGGTAGTCAACGGACTGATCGGATGCCTCTGTGGGACCTGCATGAACAAGAACCAGGTCTGCTTGCTCTCCATGTTTACAATAAAGTTTATTTTAAGTGCCAAAAACAGCAAACTATTGCTTTCAAAAGTGTGTAATACCAGCCTCACAAAAGATGTGTTATTGCTTTCGCTTCAGCAGACACAGATGGAATGAAAACCCAAGAGCACACTCCAGTATGTGGGACCTGTGCTGAAATACATACGAACACAATGACATCCACACAGATCTACAGAAACACACGTGTGAAATACACTGAGGTTTCATAACACACATATGATGAATATCATGTCTAGTTTTTGTGAATCATACCCTTGTCCTCTATAAATGAAGCCTTTGACAGGTAATGAATCTATAGAAGGTCAAAGCATCTCATGGCAATTCGTAGGTGATTTTACATTTTGGTGAATTGGTGGCTAATTCACATGAATTCATCCAATCTTATTAACGGTTATGTTTGGGGGTGGACCTTCATGTTTACCTTTTTATCAAAAATCGTATGTTGAATTCATGCAATATCACCTCCTCATAAAATAGCTAAGTTTTCTCATGAGATTAGGTTTCAATATTTCAGAAACATGATGTTTGTATAACCCTGTGATATTCAACTATCAAATATAATACACATATTTTCCAAGTTTTGTAAAGCTGCTTACATTTATCCATTTTGTTAAAGTATGTAAAGATGAGTTAAACATCCACTAGTGTAAAACCTAATAAATCTCCTTACTAACCCTTGTTAGTTGACTTAAAGTGCAACAGTTCATTGAACTTGCTTGTGTAAATCTAGTCCTGTGCATTATCTGTGTCTTTTGCATTAGTTACACAGAAAGATACATTTTAAGATAAATTAATTAATCAGTTCCGATATCAGCCCCACAAACCTGTGACAATGCCTTGCTGTAATGTGGGGTTTGGGTTTTGTTTTTGTTTCATGTTCATGTCTTTTATTATTTAGTTTAGTCATGGTCCCTGTTTGTGTCATGCTTCCCTTGCCCTCATGTATTCATGCCATTGGTTCCTCTGTTCATTGTGTCATGTCGCCTTCAGTGGACTGATTCGTTACAGAATACATGACCACAGAAAAAATGAAGCCAGCAGATCATCTTGTTCGCCTCTGTCAGGGTAATCGCTCCATTGAGGAGTATGTGGAGGACTTTTGTGGGCTTTGTCACCAGGTAGATTTTAATGAAACATTCCTGAAAGACATTTTCTGTTATGGTTTGGACAAAAATGTATCTCAATTAATGCCACGCAATACCCCACACTGGTCACTTGAACAGTACAGGCCGCCACGCCTGAGTCCCCGGCCAAGATGGCCGCCACGGGCCAAGACTGAAAAGACTGGTAGCTAGCGTGATGGACTTACCACTGATGGTAAAACAACCTTGTGTTTAATATTTAATACGAGTCCGCCATGGCCCCCCGCTCTGCCTGTTCCGCTTCATGGGCCTGGCCCTCCATCCCTGCCCCAGTTCCGCCTCCCTCTGTTCAATGTGTCATGTTCTGATTGGTTGTCCTAGTCATGTGTCTTGTTTCCCATTGGTTTGTTCATGTCATGTGACCCTCCTTGTCTGCTATAACTAGCCATGTTCCCATTGTGCCCTTGTCGTGTATTGATGTTGTTACCTGCTGTCGGTGAGTCTAGTCTGTTCATGCCTCGTCAAGTCTGTGTATCTAGTCTTCGTCTGTTTGGATTATGTTTGGATCACCTGTAAATAAACTGCACTTGGGTTCTTCACTACACTCGCCTTCAGTGGACTGATTCGTTACACTTGCAAATGAACCTTGATTATTTTTGTGTAGACACACATTCAGCTTGCACCCTGATAGCAAGCAACCATTGAATCAATGTTAAAAAATGTTGATTTGTCAGTTATTTGCATTGAGTCAAAATCACTTTTGCACCCGCAAAAACTACTTTTTGCACTACTACTATACTGTTTGTTTTCTTTTTATTTATTATACAATTAACAAAAGCAAAAAAGGCCTCTAACACTAGCTTGCTCTATTCTTTTTATATTCTATCTGTTTTCTTTTGATTTATTATGATTTAAAAAAAAACTTGCTGTGTACTGCGTTAGACTAACTGAGACTTGTTATAGCACTTGTGTATCATTGCTCTTTTGTTGGTTTTGATTACTTCTGTCGTCCTCATTTGTAAGTCTGTTGTGCTCTGTTGGATTGAGATCTGGTGACTGTGGAGGGCATTTGAGTAAAGTGAACTCACTGTCATGTTCAAGAAAGCAGTTTGAGATGATGTGAGATTTGTGGCATGGTGTGTTACCCTGCTGGAAGCTGCGGTCACAAGATGGGTAGACTGTGGTTGTAAAGGGATGGAGGTGGTCAGCAACAGAACTCGTAGACTGTAGTGTTTAAATAATGCTCAGTTGGTAGTAAAGGGGCCCAAAGTGTGCCGAGAAAATATCCCTCACACCATTACACCACCAGCAGCCTGAAACCATTGATATAAGGCAGGATGGATCCATGCTTTCATGTGGTTTACATCAAATTCTGACCCTGCCATCTGAATGCTGCAGCAGAAATCGAGACTCATCAGACCAGGCAACCTTTTTCAAATCGTCTGTTGTCCAGTTTAGCTGAGCCCGGGTGAATTGTAGACTCCGTTTGCTGTTCTCAGCTGACAGGAGAGGCACTCGGTGTGGTCTTCTGTCCATCTGATTTAAGGTACGGTGTGTTGATGCTCTTCTGCAAACCTTGGCTGTATTGAGTGATTATTTGAGTTACTGTTGACCTTCTCTCAGCACAAACCCATCTGACCATTCTCTGATATCAAGGCATCTTCACTAGATATTTTCTCTTTTTCAGACCATTCTCTGTAAGCCCTAGAGATGGTTGTGTGTGAAAATCCCAGCAGATCAACAGTTTCTGAAATACTCAAACCAGCCCGACTGACACCAACAAGCATGCCACATTCACTGTCACGTCAGTCAGCTTTCTTCCTCTTCTGATGCTCGGTTTGAACTTCAGTATACCGTCTTGAGCATGTCTGCATGCTTAATTGAGTTGCTGCCATGTGATTGGCTGATGAGATATTTGCGGTAGCAGTCAGTTTAACAGATGTACCAAATAAATTATCGGTGAGTGTAAAAGCTTCACCCATAAGTACTGTCGAAAATAAAGTTTCAGTATCAATTTGCTTGTATTGAAAAAAAACCCTACCATTTAATACTGTGCAGTAAGCTGTGTGTGAGAGAGAGAGAGAGAGAGAGTGAGAGTGTGAGAGAGAGAGAGAGAGAGAGAGAGAGAGAGAGAGAGAGAGAGAGAGAGAGAGAGAGAGTGTGTGTGTGTGTGTGTGTGTGCGTGTGTCACCGGCTGCTAAACCGGTCTGATCAGTATCATAGTTCAGTCCTGTAAGTGAATACGTCTTGTTGAATGAGCAGATCGGACAGACAGGAAAAAGAGCGAAAGGGAGCAAATACTGAAAGGGAAAGAGAAAACGACAGCAGCAAAGATAAACAGGGGAGATGAAGATAAAGAGCGGCATAAGGAGAATGGGTAGCAGAGAAGGACAGGGTGAAAGTCTAGAGTTATGACTGAGCTATAAACACGATCACATGTTACTTGCATATAGATATATGGAGGAATCAGTCTAATGAGGCCCGCATGCATTAGTTTGTCTGAGAATACACAGATACTCTACCTTATCTTCTGTCTCTGCCATTACAGTAAGTATATATATAAATGTGTGTGTGTGTGTGTGTGTGTGTGTGTATAAGTGTACAAAGATATGCTTTGGGACAAAAGTGTATTTTAGGGTTTGGACTTGGGTTAGTCTGTAGTCATTATAAATCACTTTATATGGAAAACAACAGACGTCAATGTTATGTCCTCATTTACACAGTTAGATAAACATTTGTGCAAAGGTGTTATGATTAAAGAAAAAGTAATCACATGAATGCATATTAAGAACAATAATATTCTATATAGATGTCTATATAGTCAATAATAGATTACAATGCTTTCGTTTGAACTGTTCAGGTATTTGTTTATGCATCCTTCCAAACTAAACTTTCTAACATTAAACAGAATTTCTCTGCAATCGCTATAATAAGGTTATAGTAATCCTGTGTGAGTTTGGTGCTGCAGTATTTGGTATTTTAATGTAATATCACAGCGTGTAACCGTGGCATAATACTGTTTTACTGCTTTCTTAACCCCTGAACATATCAGATCAACATGGTTAGCACTTATAAAACTGCCACGTATGTGACTTACCGCTGAAGTGAATACTGAAGGATTCTGGTATGGAGACTGAATGAGTCAGGCCAGACAAACCTGTTTCTGCCTCACTTTTCACTTTCCTGTCACTTGGTATTCTTGCTAAGTTATTTGTATTAAAAACACAGTTTCAGAGCAGAGCTGTATTTGGAAAGGAACAGGAATGGGGAGTGTAGAAGTGATGTTTGCTAAGCTAGGATTGGTCAGTGGCGTTTAAAGGCAGGGCTTAGCAAAGAATCATTTCACTAGTAATAACACTGATTCTTGAGAAGTGGGACAAAACAGAGTGCAAACCAACTAAACTACATTTTTGTATCTTGCATATAGGCTAAACTATGCTTTGGTGCAACCTCCCAACTTTTCTCTTTTTTATCAAAATGTGCTTTTTACCTTGCTATCACTTAATTTGCAGTCAAGTAATTTAAGATGTTTTTAACACTTCAAAACACATTCTCATGTTAGCAGACAGATTACATTTTCACATGTGACCAACAATTCCTCAACAAATATATCATTATGAAATATGATCAAAATATTAATCTGATGAAGGTGACAGAAAGCTGAATTTGTAGTCACTTTAGCTATCAAATACATTGAATCAATCAATTACTGTATTAAAACAAACTGTGAGTATGTTATTGATTATAAAGCTTTTATTCGGGATTCACATTGAAGTATATTGATGTCACTGGAACACAAACGATCTGTTTTCTCTCATCTCAGAACAGTATGTCTGCTGCTATGGTAACAAGGTATCTTTTAAAAACAGTTAAATGAACAAATAAAACAATTGGTTGTTACTTCTAGCTATTTACATTCAGCAGGATCTTAATATTCACATTTAAACATATTAACAAATGATCAGAATACAAACGAACTGTATTATGTTTTATGCAGAGTTATGTTCCCTCAACCCTAACCCTGCTAGAAGTGATGACCATCGATCCACAAAAGAGATGCATTTAGTAGTTATACATTATTACAAAAATCAAACACTATTTTATATTTAATACAATTAAAATTGACTTGAAAATCACAAAAATATGATGACTTCACGCTGAATGTCAATGGCCCGTCACCACCGTCAGACAGAATATCTTACGTGTTGACAGATTTGGCATTTCTTTCACAAAACAAATGGAGTTCATGTAGAAGCCGTTCTGTTTTCTCTGTTGATGCGAGATGCTAATAGAACCTGCTTCAGGAGAATAACATTATCTGAACATTTCAAATCATTTCCTCAGAAATTGGAGGATGGCGTTGACATATCATGGTTGTGATGCAGGAAATATTAACATTAGGATTTAAAATATTATAAAACCATAAAACTGAGCAGAGCCTGACACTGATGTACTCTGCAGAGGATATTCCCTGATTTTATTACATTTTTATGAATGTCTGACGGTGTCGACAGACTTATGAAACATGCAAGTGTCATTGAAAAACAACCTTGCTTTTAATATGAGATATTATTAAGTGTTGCTTTTCATAAAACAAGCTCTTTTTCATCATTACATTTTTTGTATCCATTTTATAGCATATGAATGATTGAAGCCTTCTCTGTGGACACAGTTTTAGATGTAGTGAGAAGACAATAAGTGTCAGATTTCATATAATAATGATAAAATTAAACTGAAGGGGATGATTGTGTTAAATACATTCTATACTTAAACCCTCATAACATTTACAATTTCAAATATTTTCATTTGTAAACCTGGACGTGTTTTGTTCCATGTCTCAAGAATCAGTGATAAGACAGACATTCCTGCAGCTTCCACTGCAATGCTTTAGTTTATTTTATCATTGCTATTGAACTCCACCTCCTGAACTTGTTCCTGGTTTAAAGAGGGGTAATCATTAACTAGGGTTAGTCATTGAGAGGACATCTGGATGTTTTCATTCTTTCATGCTCTTACCCTAGGGGATCTTCTCGAGAGTTCACTGCATCTACATCCACAGTGTGAGGGACACATCTTCACACCTTGAGTATTTTGTAACACGTCAAAACAGTGCAAAAGAAATGGAGAAAGATGATTATGTTTCTTGATTGTTGCCGTTTGGGTGGAGGTTGGCAGCTTAATCCACTGGAGAGGAACAGAGAGAGTGAAGGGTATGGAAAGTGAATTTGTGCCTCATTGTGGAGGAAAAACGACAGGTTGCTTGTTCAATGGCTGTAGCTGGAGGGAGAGAGCATTCGATTGTGGTAGTGCATTGAGATTGCATTGAGGAGCAGTTTTAGTGGCAGTGCTAAAAGCCACCATCGAAACCTTAAATTTGCTTCTGGTCCCAACTGGGAGCCAGTGGAGTGAGATCAGGAGGAGTGTGACATGTGTTCACTTTGGCTGATTAAAGACCAGATGTACTGCTGCATTCTGGATCGTCTGCAGAGGTGAAGGAGTGGGATCATCAGGTTATATGTATCTTATGCAGAGCAGTGGTAAAAGAAGCCATGTGCTTCTATGCTATGAGGTTGTGTAAATGAAGAAAAAAAAGAGGGCCGAGAACTGAATCTTGAGGAACACCAGTGATTAGCTGTTATTACACAGACACCCCTCCTCTCCTCAGACAGCTTAAAAAATCTCCTTGTGAGGCAGGACTGAAGCCACAAAAGTACCGTAACTATGATGCCCAAGTCAGAAAGTCTGCATGTCGACAGAAGATGGTCTGAACAGACTTTCTAACACACTCAGCATCCGAATGCACTCGCTTGCTTGACTGACACTTTGTGATGACGAAATGTAGGAGGTTGTTGCTCTGTGTCATGCAACTGAGAGATTAGTTTGTGTCTGCCCTGATTATTTCTTCCAGTCTCTAACTCAAATTAGAGGGGCATTTGTCGCATAATGGTTTGAGAGTGGGACTTGTAACCTGAAGGTTGTGGGTGTGATTCTCAGTACTAGTAGGAACTGTAGGTGGAGGGAGTGAATGAACAGCACTCTCTAACTTGGACGGGATAAATTCAGAAGACAAATTCTGAGTACGAGTTACCATACTTGGCCTACACGTCACGTCACCTAAATTCTTCCCTCACAGCACTGCTCCTGGAGGGCAGAGTTTAGCTTCAGTCTTAGTTAAACACACCTAAACCAGATAATCAGCAGGATTAGACACCTCGTCACAGTACATAGTTCTTGTATTAAAGTGCATGATAATACAGTGCTCATAATGGTTGTTGGCCCTCCATACAACTGATGATTCTGTGAGCACATTATAGTAATATGTTGGTTTTATTATTTCCAATTCCAAATATTAACAAGTTTCCCAAAAGCTTCTTAAACCCCCGTCTAGCATCAGTAAAACTATCTTCTGTCCCCAAATTGGCATAAGACTCATCAAACAAACAGAGCAATGATTTGAAAGCATTACAGAGTCACAGTGTTGATAGCTACTCTTTCTAAATTTGTTGGAAGTCAACTAACCAACGATGGTTAAGAATGCCCCATAAATGCTGCTTTTGCATATAATCAAAGTATTTTAACATCCACTAAATCTCTCCTCTGTCTCCTCTCTCTGAAGCTCAGGCCATTACCATCCAGGTGCCGAGGAGCCCTATCACGGCACCGGTTCAGGGAAGGGCTCTTTTCTCCGTGGACATCACATGCACCGGGACTCCAGCGATCAGATGGATCTTCAGTTCTGTGAGCAAACAGCAAAGCATCGCAGCCTGGATGCTCGGAGGCGCTGCAAACGTCACGAAAATGTACGAGGGAAGAGTGCAAACTCATCCCAACGGCTCGCTAACCATAACCGACCTACGTCTACAAGACTCTGGCTATTACACCATCACTGTGACTGAACCGTCTGGAAACAGCAAGGACGTGTGTATGGTGTTGAGTGTAACTGGTGAGCATGTCGTTTGTGATATACTGTACGTAGAGACACAAATGCACACTGACATAATGCTTTAGTCTATCTATCCTGTGTTTCAGAGGTGCTGTATGACGACATTCAGTACTTTATCGTGTTCATCGTTGTGTTGGGGACGCTGGCTGCATTTCTGATGCTGTGCATGTGGCTCTTGAATAAACTACACAACTTCATAAAGGCCTGGAGACAACGGAGATGCTTACCAGGTACTACATCGACTGTCATTTACATTTATTGCAATGCAGACGTTGTGCGCACAGCTGTGTATGTTAGATGTCCTGAACGTGCATGCTAAGTGTCTGAATGAGGTAAGAGCTTATAATTAATGCTCATTAATGCAGATCACACACTCACTGACAGGCGAGAAGAGGATAGGATCGTAGCTCCATTGGTGGCAATGCGTCTACATTTACATTTAGTCATTTAGCAGACGCATTTATCCAAAACGTGGACAACGGAAGCAATCAAAATCAACAAAACAGCAATGATATGCAAGTGCTATAACAAGTCTCAGTTTAACGCAGTACACGCAGCAAGTTTTTTTTAAATTATATATTAAAATAAAAATAAAACGGATAGAATAGAAAAAGAATAGAGCAAGCTAGTGTTAGAGGCCTTTTTTGCTTTTGTTAATTGTATAATAAATAAAAAGAAACCAAACAGATAAAATACAAAAAGATTAGAAAAGCTAGTGTTAGTTTTTTGTAAGAAAACAAGCAGTTAGTAAATGAATAGAGTGCAAGTCTAAAAGAGTGCTAGAGTTAGAGGGTCAACTAAAGATGGAAGAGATTCTTGAGGATGGCTAAGGACTCAGCTGCTGGGATTACTTGGGCTTATGATGCTTTTGGGAAACGCAGCCCAGGCCGTTTGATCCATCAGAAAGAGTGTTTGGCAAAATATGAATGTTTAAAGGTGTATGAGATAGTAAGATGTAATATTACTTTTCGTTTGCAAATAAAACTGAACCTCTGTATTTGCATTCTGCACAGAGCACAATGAGACTGAACTGCAGCCACTGTGACAGAAACACTGATTAGTGATTGACCAGATGAGCGTTTCCCTCTACAGAGTGCAGATCAACAGACCGACAGCAACACCAACTCTCTTGAGCGCCAGACAATCAACAGGACAATCATACTTATGCATGTGTTATTATACTTATAAAGGGTCAAAGGACATCCTCTCAAGTACCAGATGGTGGAAATTTTATGAATGTTCTTTGTGTTATTTTTAATGGATGAATGTTTTTAAAAATCATTGGATATTGCAGGGGCAAATTTCCATTTGTGGTTCAGGTACCAATCCTAGCGAAATTCCTGTTATGTTATTTAGTGTCCAAACGTCTCTTATGAAACAAAAAGATTTGAATGTGGCTCAGTGTCATGATTGCTAAATAGTAATATCTAACAAACAGCATATTTAATTTTTTTTTTTCCCAGATTTTTTGGATAAGACATGTCTGATCTTTTCGATTGTAAAGGTTCAAAATACATATCTTTGCATAATGATGATTACCTGCACTTGTTGTTCTCATTAAACGTAGTTTGTCTTTAGATTTTCCAGTGTATAGAAGGATTGCTTTCTTCTGTTTGTACAAATGTCTCCCTGGAGCACAAAAGCAGTGTTAAGTCGCTGGGGTATATTTGTAGCAATAGCCAACAATACATTGTATGGCTCAAAATTATCCATTTTTCTTTTATGCCAAAAATCATTAGGATATTAAGTAAAGATCATGTTCCATGAAGATATTTTGTAAATTTCCTACCGTAAATATATCAAAACTTAATTTTTGATTAGTAATATGCATTGCTAAGAACTTCATTTGGACAACTTTAAAGATGATTTTCTCAATATTTAGATTTTTTTGCACCCTCAGATTCCAGATTTTCAAATAGTTGTATCTCAGCCAAATATTGTCCTATCCTAACAAAGATTATTCAGCTTTTATATGCATAAATGTCAATTTCACAAAATTTACCCTTATGACTGGTTTTGTGGTCCAGGGTCACACATGTGCTTTCACAACAAAGGAAGAATGCAGAGCTGGAAGTACAAATGTTTTATTTCCAACAAGTGTTTTGGCCATCGCTGGCCTTTTCTTAGAAAAATGACAGAGTGTGAGCAAACGGTGAAGAGATGCATCAAATCAAAGTGAGACCCCAGCGGGCTCTAGGGACACGGGGAGAGGGCCGCCATCAGCAGCTCCATCTTGTACACAAAGTTTCTTCCTTCCATGCGGCCCCAGTGCACCTCCCTGTAAGGACCCCTCAGGTGCGTCCATCTGCCCTCCTGCAGCACGTCGCTCTTGAGCAGCTCTTTGGCTTGACTGCGCGGGAACTGAACCAGCACCTTGCAGCCGCTCTCTGGACCGTTGCGCACTGCAGACAGACAAACACATGTACTGTCCTTCAGGTTCCTCGTGCATTACTGTTTATGGATCTCCAGCCCCGCCGTGAGGTCAGATCACCGCTGTAATAAAGCATGTGTAACGCTGGCTCAGACGCACCTGAGATGGTGTGTTCTCCGCTGGGAGACGCGACCGTGATGGCAGAGGCGTTCCCGATGCTCTCGATGGGGCCGAGGCCCACGTGATTACTGAAGCTCAACACGTGCCAGCCCATGACTTTAGCCAGCTGCTGCACAGCGTGAACCTGATGCTGCGACATCTGCACACACACAACACACACACACACACACACACACACCATCATGACATTATGACAGCCAGAGTTCAGACAAAAATGAAGATTTGCTTGAAACATGCTCATCCTCAGGTCATCCGAGATCAGGAGTTTGTTTCTTCATCAGGTTTGTAGAAATGTAGCATTGCAT